ATATAGTGCCCTTCCTTATCCTTTGTGGTGGATTTTACTTTAAAGTCTATTTTGTCAGAGATTAATATTACCACTTCTGCTCTTTTTTGAGTGTTGTTTGCTTGATATATTTTTTTCCATCCTTTGAGTTTTAGTTTGTTTGTGTCTTTAAGTCTAAGGTGTGTCTCTTGCAGGCAGCATATAGACAGATCGTGTTTTTTTATCGATTCTGCCACTGTCTGTCTCTTTATTGGTGCATTTAGTCCATTTATATTCAGCATAATTGTTGATAGGTATGAGTGTAGTGCTGTCATTTTGATGTCTTTTTTTGTATGTTGTTCACAGTTTCTTTGTTCCACTTAATTTTCTGTGCTGAGTCATTTTTCTTTATGTATTTCTTTTTGATCTTTTTCATTGTTGTTGATTTTGTGTTTGCTGAGTCTTTATATTTTTCTAGTTTATTAATTTGACTTGTAGGATTGTTAGTTTCCTGTGTGGTTACCTTAATATTTACCCCTCTGTTTCTAAGTTTATACCAGTCTTTTATTTCTTTATATCGCCTTGACTGCCTCTCCATAAGAAAGTCTATGTCTACATTTTTTAAGTCCCTCTTTTTGTTTTAATGTTGTCATCTTTTACATATGGACATCTGTTTCCCTGTTTTCAGTGTTTTAGCTTTGGTTTACTTTTGTGACTTCCCTATCTGGGTTGATATATGGTTGGTCTCTCCTGTGTTCTAGTCTTGGGTTGTTATTCGATGTTACTTATTTTCTAACAAAAGGACACCCTTTAGTATTTCTTGTAATTTTGGTTTGGTTTTCGTAAACTTCCTAAACTTCCCTTTATCTGGAAATGTCCTAATTTCGCAATCATATTTGAGAGACGGTTTTGCTGGATATATAATTCTTGGGTGGCAGTTTTTTTTCCCTCAATGCTTTATATGTGTCATCCCATTGCCTTCTTGCCTACATGGTTTCTGCTGAGTCATCCATGCTTATTCTTACTGACTCTCCTTTATAGATGACTTTTCGTTTATCCCTAGCTGCTCTTAAAATTCTCCCTGTATCTTTGGTTTTGGCAAGTTTGATTATAATATGTCTTGATGACTTTCTTTTGGTATCTACCTTATGTGGGGTTCGATAAGCATCTTGGGTAGATATCCTGTCATCTTTCATGATATCAGGGAAGTTTTCTGCCAACAAATCTTCAACAATTCTCTCTGTATTTTCTGTTATCCCCCCCATTATTGTACTCTAATCCCTCATAGGTTATTCTTCTTGATAGAGTCCCACATAATTCTTAGGGTTTCTTCATTTTTTTTAATCATTTTATCTGATTTTTCCTCAGATAAGTTAGTGTCAAGTGCTTTATCTTCATTCTCCCTAATTCTGACTTCCATTGTCTCAGTTCTGCTCCTATGACTTTCTATTGAGTTGTCTAACTCTGAAATTTGATTGTTAATCTTCAGGATTCTGATTTCTGTCTCTCTATGGATTCTTGCAGCCTGTTGAATTTGTCATTATGCTTTTCTCTAATCTTTTTAATTTCCTCTATTGCGTGTTCTGCATTTTGCTTAATTTCCTTCATAATTTCTAGAAGAGTTCTGTATATTAATCTTTTGTATTCTGCCTCTGGTAATTCCAAGAAATTTTCCTCCACTGGAAAATTTATAGATTGTTTATTTTGGGAGCTTGCTGAAGCCATCATGGATTGCCTCTTTATGTGATTTGATATTGACCGTTGCCTCTCAGCCATCAATAAGTTATTTTATTTGTTTATTTTTTGTTTGCTTACTGTGTCCTAGCTTCTTGTTTTGTTTTGATACGCCCAAACAAGCTGCTTGAATGAGCTAGTTTGATTATTGGCACCTTTGAAGCTCTAATGTCCTGTCACTAGGTGGTTACATCTGTTACTAGCTATGTGAGCTCAGGGGTCTGCCCACTCCTCCTGTATGGATTCAGCTCAGGTGCCCAGGTAGATAGCCACCAAGTGTGTGGTGGAGGCTCTCACCTAAAGTCCTAGACATGCATAGGTGATTGGTATAGGCAGAGGCATCTGGTTGCAGCAGGGGGACATACTCTGAGCAAGGCAGGCGGCTGACTGCCGTCCCCAAGTGTCCAGGAGGAAGGCATGTCTCTGTTCCCGAGAGCACGTAGGTGGGTAGATTTTGCAGCCAGACTATGAGCACCCAATGTTGTTGCCTGTAAGGACTGGGGGGCACCTCTTATTCTTAGGCCCCTATTGCAGGTGGCTAGGTGGCGTGGGTGGAGCCACAAGTCCTCAGGCCCCTGATGTGTGTAGGTGAAGACTCTGTGTAAAGGGCAGAGCTGTGTCAACTGTCACAAACCTGCCACTTCACAGCTGAAACATTTGAAGTTAGACTGCAGGTATGTACCCTGTTGTACTTTGGTAATGAGGGCCTATGCTGTTGAAATGGGCCCACACAAGTTTCTGCAGGGGGAAAGGAACTCAGTGTCCATGGATCCCTTATGCCTGTGCCTAGGCAAAGGACCTATGCCTACCCTGGGTTCCTTGCTTAGGGGAGCCGGCAGTTTATTTTTTCCTGTTGGTTAATTTGTTCACTCTTCAAGGCCGGGAGAATGGCTCAGGGCATGTGTTGGATCCTACTTCTGGCCCAGGGGAGTGGGCGATTGCTGAAGCGGGTCTGGGACCCAGTGCAGCACAGGGACCAGGAAGGTAAATAGGAGCGAGCTTTTTCCCTCTTGTGGGTGTTTTGGATCCACGCGGTTAAGCTGTATGCAAGTACTTATCTTTTGTCGAGGGGTACTTCTCACTGGTTCCGTGTGGTGGAGTAGACTCTCAGAGGATGGGTCTCTCCCAGTATGGAATACACCTCCCAAGCACTGATGCTTGCCTGCCTCACTGCTCACCCCCAAGCTGATCAGGCCTAAAGGGCTCAGGCTCTTGCTGGGCTACTTCTGGCAACTCCTTGCTGCTTCCAAACCATCTTTCCCTCCCCCTTCCACTCAGTCTAGTTCCTCAACTCTGCCTTTGATATTCAGGGCTCCCAGATGGCCATATATAATCGAATCACTTTTTTTTTAGGGTATTTGTTATGAGGGTTCACTGGAAGCATCTGACTACTCCGCCATCTTGGCCCTGCCTCCAGATTTTTTTGTAAAGTTAATGATTTGTTGTGTTGGAAAAACAATATCTCCTATGTAGTTTTTTATAAATACCAAAAATCAAACACGTTTCCAGATAAGGGACAATAAACCAGAAATAAGTCACACTAGGCCTCACATGAAGGAAAAAAAAAAAGCTCACTTATGAAAACGTAGAAATTATAAAGTATTATATAAAAAAGCTCATTTTCCTGAAAAAAAAATTAGCAATTTTTGTGTCTGTCCCATGTACCTCAATAAGATAGACAATTTCACTCTTAAGTCAAGAATTCAGGCTAATATTTATATCAAGTCTGTTTTCACTGGAGAAAAGAAAAGAGTGAAAATCCTGGACACATATGGATCAGGCCCTTTATCCTGGGTGTCAGGGAAGCTGTTTGGGCTATAGCTGGCACTGAACCTCCTCTGAAGCTATCCATCCACAGCCAACTCTTTTGCTTTTCTTGCTGTGCAATTTCACACAGCACAAAGGTCTTCTTAAATTAAATTCAAATTAAAATGGCATCTCTTTCCAATCAGGGTTTTGGGAGTGGAGAGGTCTTACTTTTGCAAATACCCCTCCCAGAGTCTTCAGTGCATCTCAGGCAGGTTTAATTATGGCAGAATGCAACAATGATCAATACTGTTCTTCTAACTGAGAAGAGGCAGTGTCATTAAGGGAGCAGCAATGAGGAAAGTGTTTCTGAATGGCGCATGGCTTTTCATAGTCCATGAAAATGGGCCCTCTGGTTGAGAGGACAGAACACACATATTGTACTCTAATTCCGGAGCTGATTTCTCATTTAGCTTTTGAATAATGAGCATTTATACCCCACAGAGGTGTTAGTGATACAAGCATCAGGCGAAGCTGATCATTTCTAATGTAAGTTGTGCAATGAGCTGACTGAGATCCTACCTTTTGTCCCTGCACTTCTGTCGTGATGTGATCAGCTCCCCCATCCTCTATCTCCCCCATCTTCACGACACTGACTTCTATGATGCCAACAACTTTGCCACCATCTGAAGTTCTGAAACCAAAAATGAATGAAATAGAAAGGTAAGAATCTTCTCTTGCCGTCAAGCATATTTGGAGCATGTTTGTTTATGAAACCACTAACATTGCCATTCAGTTCATTTATTTTAATTCTACAATCTGCTTACAACATAGTGAAACATGTTATCAATGTTTGTGCTGTTTTTAATTTCAAAGGAAAATTACCACGAATTTGTAAGATAAGAGTTTGGACTTCAAAAACTACCTTATGAAGGTCAAATTTCCACAAAGTTCTCAGCAGTAGCCTCAAGGAAAGAGTATTGTGTAATGGATCAGTGTCTTATTTTGCAACTTCAAAATTTCTATAATAGTATAAATCATGGCCCTTCTATACCTACTGCATGGGACAATGTACATATCTGTAACAGAAATTACAGCCCAACAAAATAGAAAGAGATATAAATTTTCCCTCTATGACCAGGCTATTGGCTACAAAATCTTACTTTGTGCCTTTTCTCTGACATAATTTCTCTTTCTAAAAGACAAGGTAAAAGAAGATTCTCCCAAACAAAGAAGAAAGTTCAGGGATATGTAGAGCAAAACATAACCATAGAGATCATTTAGTACCAACTATTACTTTTCAGGAGTCCCTGGGTGGTGTAAAATGAATAACAAAAGGTTGGAGGTTCCAGTCCACCCAGAAGCACCTCAAAAGAAGGCCTGGTGATCTACTTCTGAAAGGTCATGGTCATGAAAACCCTATGGAGCACAGTTCTACTCTGACACACATGAGGTCGCCATGAGTTGGAGTCCACTTGGTAGTAACTGGTTTTTATTACTTTCTAAGATATAGAAGGAGCCCTGGTGGCGCAGTGGTTAAAAGATCGGCTGCTAACCAAAAAGTCGGCAGTTCGAATCTACCAGTCACTCCTTGGAAACCGTATGGGTCAGATCTATTCTGTCCTATAGGGTTGCTATGAGTCAGCATCAACTCAATGGTAATGGGTTTGGAAGATAAGAAATTGAGATTCAAAAAGATCTAGACTTGCCCAGGGTAACAAAGTGGCTAAACCAGAAATTCAGGTGTGTCTATCATTTTCAACTCTGATGGTCAATGAGATACTCCTCTACATTTAATAATAATGATAATATTTTTTATCACTAAGACTTTCATCTCATTATTTTCATCAACATAAAAATTTTATGGTTGACAATAAAAGTTAAAATTAACAACCACACCTCTAAAGATCCTCTTGTTTCTTTTCCTGAGCAAGAAAATCTACAGAATAAATGGTGCCATCATAACAATATTTTTCCCTTACCCCTTATTGTGAAAGTACAAACCAAGGCTCCAAGGTATGATGTGTTGCTTCTAACTATTATAACTTTCATCTATTCCTAATTGACTGAGTAGTACTTATCATGTGACACTTTGTTTTCTTTTTTAGTCATGGATGTTCTTCTCTGACATTTATATTTAACTATAATCTGAACCTCCAAGTTATTTCCTTTTAGAATGTCACTCTTTTATTATTAGAAGTATCAGAAAAAAAGAATAGGAAAATTAATGTAAGTAGTTTACCAAAATACCAATTAAAATAATGAATAAATTAGGTGAAAACAAAACTCAAATATGTTACTAGATCACTGCAGGTTTTCTAAAATTATAAAAGGTATAAATTAAAACACACCTTTTACAATTATGCATTAAAGAAATTGAAATAGGAAAATTCTGGTGACAGGTGAATACAGCTAGTGCCATAGTGTGATAAAATAAACACGATGTACATAGAAACATGATTTGCTTGTTAATAGTCTATTACAATCTCTTACTAAAATGTGAATTAAAATGCTCCTCAGTGATTTTAAAAGGAATGTAATTCACAAATGAACCTGAATTATTTGAAACTAACATAGAAAACTTAAACATTAATCGCAAAAAATACATATATATATATATAGGTTACAATATGGCCTGTGACATTGTAGAAAACTATTATTAATTCCAACTCTGGGGTGCTTCTAAATAATTCATTTACCATTTTCCCGCTTAAATATGGTATAATAACTTGTAACAACTCATGGTGTGTTATATCTCTGTACAATTTTTCAGAACCTACAGGTTAAAGAGTCTAATAAGAACCCTCACTGGTACTACCGGTAACACTTTTGTAGAGATTTCCTGACTTTTTTTTTTCCCAAAACTGATCATCAATATCAATTAAAAATCCTTTCTTCTAATTCTTTAAAAAACTTTATTTGCAGCAAACTGAGTATTTTAGTCATCTAGTGCTGCTATAACAGAAATACCACAAGTGGATGGTTTTAACAAAGAGGTTTATTTCCTCACAGTCAAAGTAGGCTAAAAGTCCAAATTCAGGGCGTCAGCTCCAGCGGAAGTCTTTTTCTCTTTATTGGCCGTCTTCTCTTCAGTGTTCCCCCAGACTAGGAGCTTCTCTGTGCAGGGAACCCGGCCCAAAGGACACGCTCTGCTCCCAGCACTGCTTTCTTGATGGTATGAGGTCCCCACCTCTCTGTTTGCTTCCCTTTCCTTTTATCTCTTGAGAGATAAAAGGTGGTAGAGGCCACACCCCAGGGAAACTCCCTTTACATTGGATCAGGAATGTGACCCGGGTAAGGGTGGTGTTACAATCCCACCCTAATCCTCTTTAACATAAAATTGCAATCACAAAATGGAGGCCAACCACACAATTCTGGGAGATATGGCCCAGCCAAATTGATACACACATTTTTGGGGGGACATAATTCAATCCATGACACTGAGTTAGCTTAATTTATGCAAATACAAAGCCTGTGTATAACATTAATTTTTTTTTCACTGAACTAATGAACCTAATGATTTAAAACTGAAAGTGGAATTTTCACAGACTTTGCCAGGGTTGGTTAAAAGCGTGAACTCAGGAGTTTGTGGTATCTGCTATCTGCGTGACCTTGGGCAAGTTACTTAATCACGTGAAACTTCATTTTTCTCGTTTTAAAATGGAGATGATAATAACTTTGTTATAAGGATTAAATTCAGCGCGATGATTTATGTAAAGTGCTTAGCACAGGGCCTTGCACAAAATAAGTGCTTCTTCCTTCTTCCCCTTCTCTTCATCTATTATTATTAGTAGTAATAGCAGAATTTCTATTGTCATTAATGTGTTATATTTAATTTGATTTGCTCCAGAAATTTTACTGAAATAGATATCCAAGACTACAGTAAGAGATCATAGAATTTCATGGGATACACATTTCAAGAGTGATTAAGGCCTTTTTAGAGACACCAAGATTCAGTAAACAACTGACAAATGTTGTGAAACTTACATTTCTAGCAGTGTAGAGTACACACGTATACAACCAATTACAATGCAAGTGAACCTTTCAGAAATGCTAAAGTAGACAAATAAGCACTATTTTATGAGAGTGTAGCTCTGAAATATAGCTCTATCTATTCCCCTTTAAAAAGTATGCAGCTACTTTTTTCAATGCTTTTCTATCTTTTAGGTTCCTGGAAAACCACTCGTTATCTCATATATGCTTCCACTTAGTCCCAGAGTGAATCAAAGCAAGGACCTTGCTTAATCTAGTGGCATCACAGAGATTTCTAGAAGCAATGTTTTCTTTCTAAAACAATTTTTGATAAGCAGCCCTCAGTACCCTAAGTACGCCTCCTTCACCTGAGATTTGTAGGAGTCTGAATGGTGAATCCAGTTTATAAACCAAATAACTGAATCCAAGACACCCCAGAACCAGGTTCACCCTGTCAATGAACTGGAACATAAAATAAGCAGCAGTCTCCTAAGCATTCTGTAAAAATGTACCACACAAAGGGTGTGAATGAAATGTGCTGAATAATACATCTCTGCAATGAGGAGAGTCAGGATTGAAATGTCTATTTCATGTTTCCAAAGGCCATTTAAAAAATGACTTCATAGAGATTTAGCAAAAATCATTCTTGAATGCTTAATTATGCTTTCAATTGATTAGTCATTACATTTGGGAGGCTAGTAACGATAGCTTGACCATTATTCATCTCTCAAACTTTACTAAATTTTATCTACCATATTTTATGCAAATAACGTGCACCTCTATGTTTGTTTGCCAACTGCATCCTCCCCCGCGAGGTATTTTCATAAGTGCTGCTATGCCATTATTTTTTTTTAACATGATGCTGTTAAAAGAAAAAAAATAGCATAGTGCCCTTACGAAAATACCTCACAGGGGAGGGCATGGTTGGCAAATAAATGTAGAAGACACGTTATTTGAGTAAAAATATGGTAATGGAAATTTTCCATGTCTTTGCGAAAGGTATACTGAAGAGAGTTCTCAGCTAGGAATCAAGAAACCCAAGTTCTACTTCCAGTTAAGATACTAACTGGCTGTGTTATCAAGGACATATCACTTTATTTCTCTGGATTTCAGTTTCCTTTACTGCAAAATGAAGAATTGGTTTCTAACAGCTATTCTATATTATCGGCACTCAAGCCCATGTTCTCATCACTCTAATTGTATCATAGGTTGACTCGGACTCAGGAAACATCTCAGGTACATCCTAGTCTCTCCTCCTTGCTCCCCATCTACCCATCCCACCGATCCCAAAACAAACCATAACAAAGCCATGCTGTATCTGGGAAGAAACTTGGAGTCAAGTAACGAAAGGGGTAGTCTTTCTTATAATATCTGTGATGGTTAACTTTATGTGTCAACTTGGCTAGACTATGGTTCCCAGTTGTTTGATCAAACATAGTCTAGTTGCTGTCAAGGAGTAGTTATATGTGATTAAGTCAGTTGGCTTTGGGTAGAGCAGAATTAAAAAAAAAAAAAAAAAAAAAAACC